CTGACTATTGCTAGGTATATCCATTGGACTATTCTTGGGTTCATGCCCCATTTTACCCAATGGCCTTCTTGCAAGTATAGAGGGCTATCGTAGCCTTCTTCACTCTGTCTTTGATGCTCAGGTTCCAGCTAAGCTTTTTATCAATTACCAACCCTAAGTTACTGGCACTGTCGCTAAAGGAGAGCATGCATCCGTTTAGTATTGGGGGGTTGAGATACGGGATTTTGTATTTGGTTGTAAACAATACAAGTTCCGTTTTAGAGGGATTAACTCCCAGTCCACGCGACTCTGTCCATTCTGACTGTCGCGCGAGCTTTGCGGTCATTAGATCGCAAAGTGTTTGAGGGAATTTCCCGAGAAGATAATGGCAACGTCGTCCACGTATGCTACCACTTTGCAGCCCTCCCCTTCCAGGTCACACAGAATCTTGTTGACTGCGACAGGACACCTTGCGGGGTGCCTCTGTTGACATACCTTGACTGAGTGGACGATCCCATTGATGATGTCCCTGTCCTGCATGTGAGCAATTGATCTATGAGCATCACCAAGTGACGATCCACTCCCAGGTCAGTCAGGGCCTCTGTGATGGCTCCTGGTATGACGTTGTTAAAAGCTCCCTCAATGTCTAGGAAAGAGATTAAGGAGTATTCTTTGACGTGTAGAGATTTCTCTACCGCCGAGATTACTTCATGGAGTGCCGTTTCCGTGGATTTTCTTTTTCGGTAGGCATGTTGTGCGCCAGACAGCCTCAGTGGCTTTATGGTTGTCTTCAGCTGCAGCCCAACTAGTCTCTCAAAGGTTTTGAGAAGAAAGGACGATAGACTTATTGGTCTGAAGTCTTTTGGGGTTGTGTGTGAGGGTTTCCCTGCTTTGGGGATAAAGACTATTTTAGCCTTGAGCCAAGCGCGGGGGATTTTTTCCACTGTCAGTTTCTTTCTGAAGATACTTTGCAGCCAGTTGATGGCCATGTCCCCGGCTTTTTGCAACTGAGCCGGAATGACTTGGTCCGGGCCAGGCGATTTGTTGGATTTAAAGCTGTTTACTGCCCAGCTAATATTCCGTTTTGTGAGGATGTGCCCCATCGAGGTTTCCGGGCCTTCACTTGGGGTGTCTGCCGGCTCGATGGTCGTACACCCAGGAAAATGAGTATCGAGGAGAATATGTAGGGAGTCCTCACTAGAGTTTTTGACAGGATCTTGCGTAGCCGTGCGGCTTCTGACGTGTCTTCCATTTCGGAGCATTTTGGGGGGGCGCTGTCCCTGAGAAATTTTTGCCAAGAGGCCCTTTTTGCTCTCCTAGTTTCTTTTTTTTATAGGGTTAGTTTACTTTTGTAATTATCTCAGTGCGCTTCCTCGCTGCTGCTTTTGGCTCTGTTAAAGAGAGTCCTGCAGTCTTTTCGGAGGGTATCTATTTGTTTAGACCACCAGGGGGGTTTCTTTTTCCCTCTTGGTTTGGTTGAAGCAAGCTTCCGTGAAGCTGTCCACAAGACGATTAAGATCGTCTTGTGTGTCTGGGCATTTTGGTGCTAGGGGAGGGAGTAATTCCTCCATTTTTGCACTATATATATCCCAGTTGGCTTTCCTGGGGTTAATATAGTTAGTAGGTTTGGTGCTTTCGAGCGATAGGACTGTCTCGATGTACCTGTGGTCGGAGAAGGAGTGGTCCTCTAGGACTCTCCAATTCTTCATTATGTCGGACAGTTTGTGAGACAATATAGTGAGGTCAATAACCTCTTGACAGTTTTTTATAATGAATGTGGGGTCGTTACCCCGATTACCAATAACTAGGTTGGAGTTTAGGATGAAGCTGAAAAGTGACTCACCCCTTACATTTGTATCCGAGCTCCCCCATTGGGTGTGGTGAGCGTTGGCATCGCAGCCTATTATTAGGCCTGTATCCGACCTTTAGCTGTCGCTGGCTATCTTGCGAACGAGGTCACTGGGAGGATCACTTTCCTCGTGAGCCATGTAGGTCGACACCAGGTTCGGGCGCGTCCCCTGTAGCTCTAGGCTAGCCGCCGTGTTGTCGCCATTGCTAAAATTGTGGAGCAGAAAGATATTTGGGTGCTTTCTTGTTAGAATGCAGGTTCTAATTTTACCTTCAGTTTGGGCTACAATCAGCTTGTAGTCCTTCGTCGCTAATCCACAGACCTTGCCTCCTACCACCCAAGGCTCTTGGATTAGGACTATGTCCCCTCCGCTCGCGACTAAGCGGAGTATCAGGTCAACGGATGCTGCTTTACAGTGGTGGAGATTTATCTGCAGAAGCCTCAGAGACTTCATTAGAGTTGTTCTCCACCACTGTTATGTCGGCGTCAGAGTCGTCGAGAATTTCTTCACGACACAACGCCTCAAAATCGAGCATCAGCTCCGTCTCCGAGGAGTAGCTCTCCAGGGCCGGCCTCGGGTCTACGTCGGGTGCCTCGATCTCCGAGGCAACGTCCTGCTCAACTGGGTTGTTGACAGGACGCGCCTAGGCCGCTGCATCCGACTTGTAGACCTTCATGGTCACCGAGCTGAACCCGAAGTTGAGCTCTCCCTTGGCTGCCTCGATTGGGGCTAGTGACTCCTTATTTAGGATTATCACTGCCTGGTTAGTGGGGCCTTTTGATGCCTCAACTTTGACCACCTTCCAGTCTGAGGTTGGCAGTGTTGGGTTGCATCTCTGCAACATCCTGAGGATCCGCTTGGGCTCCTTAAAAGTGGCCGTCACCCATATACGAGGCCTTGGTCTACTGGGCACCTCGCTCCACTCAACAGCGACGAGCTTCGCCCCAGCGTAGACTTCTCCGATTTGCGCCACCGCAGCTTTGTATAGCTTCACGGAGCGCTCATCTTCGCAGGCTACCACTTTGATGCTCCCCTGGAACCATCCCATGTCTTTGCAGACTGGGGGTGGTCTGGGATCCTTCTCGAGAAGCTCGAAGCAGCGGTCTGCCAGTGCCGCTTCCACCCACTTCCATTGGCTTCTGGGTATTTTCCCCTCCGCGCTGCCTTTGTCGAGAACGCCTATCAGCGTCCTCTCCATGGCAATCTGCGCGAAGGATACGTTGGGGAGCACTCTGGAGCGCTTCGCGGCAGGTCCGGGCGTCTCTTGCGAGCGCTGCATTTTCGGTTGTGCAGCCACCGTCTGTGGCTCCACACTGAAGTTGGGCAGCACCGCCGAGGCCCATTCCACCTTTTTCAGCCAGTCTGCTGTTGGACTGACTTCTTTGCTGGCGTTCTGCCGACGTAGTATGTGCCCAGCACTCCTCTTTTCGGCATAGCTGAATTTTTTGGCTTGGACACTGGTTGATGGCAAGCCATCACCCGCCGCTTCACCGGAAGGTTGAGCAGCCGCAATATTGCTTAGCTGCCCTACTATGGTATCAGTTTTGGGTGTTGGCTTTCCACCCATCCCAGATTTGGGATGGGACCCACCCGGGTTCATACCCGCGTCCTTCCACCGTGCAGGTCTTTCCTGCATCTGAGCGGATCGGGCCAGGCCTTTGGGCCGCTGCCTTCTCCCGCTTGGGATTGCTTTGGGGAGTGCCTCTCTCGTTTTTTTTGTTTATGTTTTTGCATTTTTTGTATTTATCCATATGATTCCCACGAGCTGCAAAGAAGGGGAACGGTCCACCCCGGCAGAGCTTTACTTTACCCGGGTAAGGCATAATTAGAACAGGGGGCTGCCAAGTCCCTGAGCTCTCCGTTCACGACTGGGCTAGTTTTGTACCGGGCCCCCAGCCAGGCTGACTCTTGGCACGGGTCGAGTGACACCTTAGTCCGGCCCGGTGTGAGGTGAGTGTTGGGGCTGGGATGTGGGTAGGTAATGTGTAGGGATGGGAGTGTGTGAGCTACTTAATGAGAGGCGGCACCACAAGCGCATCGTCAGTGTTGCTGCGTCGCTAACACCCGCTGGCTGTCCGGGACTGCTTATTTCGGTACTCTCCCTCAGAGCCAACTTAGTTGATTCTCTTTGGGATGCCCGCTTATTCGCAGCTGACCTCCCCACTAGGGTAGGCCGTTCGCTATCCGCAACCTGCGACCCGTCCGGTGGCCTCAGCTAGGCCCCCTCTGAGCCACCTCAAAGCCCAATAGGATCATCGGATACGTTCTATATAACAATGAATCGTTTCTCTATTTCTATACGCTCTCGCGCCACCGGCCCCTCAGGCTCCTCGCTGGTGCTGTGGCTATGTGTCCGCCTGGCTCACCACACACCAACGTTTGTTGGTACCCCGCGGGACTGTGCCTGTTGGTTGAGTCACTTTGATCCTTCCTTGGACTCTTACGTTGACTCTCCTTGTCGTTGGTTCTACCGCACTCGCTTATGTTCGCGCCTTTCCTCGTGATTCGCACTCTACTGACTGTCCCTTTTACTGTTGCCGGGCTCCTCTTATACCCTCGCTTCGACGCTGGCGTCCGCGCCTCTGCCTAGCAACAGCGGTAAATCCGTGCACCGTTGGTAATTTTCCATCGGCCTCTTCGCTTGTTTCCAACACGTTCTTAACGGGACCGGGCTGGTGGCGTGATCTCATGTTCATACATGGTCATGCGCTGGACCACTGCAAGCCCACTCCCGCCGTTCCTAGCCTGACGTGATCGCCGCTTCTTGCGTGCTCCTCCATTCTCGACTCTCTCCACGGGATCGTACCGGACTTGGTCCCCTTGTGAGGAAACTCCATTCCTCACACTTCCCCCTTTCTTTACCTCCCTTCGTTTTCCTCCCGGCCACCTGCCCGTTTGAATTCAAGCGTGCGCGCGGGCGCGCGCTCACGCTGGTTCCGGACTGGTTCCTCCAATGCCCGATCGGTTCGCCACCTATCGAATCGGGTCTGCCGATTTAGTTCCGGAACCAGCTCCATGCATGGTTCTCCCGATAGGTGCGCGCCTCGCGTGCACGATAGTGCGCCTCTGATCGTGCTGCCAGACCCCCTTCACGTGTTGCCAGATCGCTCCCCTTTTCACGTGTTGCTTCCGCTTGCGGTATTGTATACGCTTCGCCGGCCGCGTTTTCGCGTACGTTTGTTTATTTTACTGCCCTCGTGGGCTCTGTGTACCCCGCGTGTTAACCCTACGACTAGCCCGACACCATGCTGCCATTCCCTGGGTAAGTTTTACTTTATATTCTTTATTCATTTTTTTTTCCCATTCAACAATTTTCTTCCTCAGCCCCCTTTCATACCTCGATGGACACCTCGACCCGGTTTGCCGACGCCGACACCCGGTACCGTACCCCGCGCACCCTCACGAGATGCTTTACGCGCCGGCCGATCCGGCGTGTGCCTTCGACTGCCCGGACCACTGCCTCCGGCCACTCTTCGATGGCCACGTGTCGCCAGCGGACAATCTCCCCCGTCGGCTCCTCAATCGACTGCTGTCTCTGCAGCTGCGGCCGGGCGACCTCAGCCCTGGGATCTGGGCACGATGTTTGCCGCATCAGGACAGGCCTAGCCTTGGCCTTCGCAGGTGAGGGCCACACCCACGGACCGCGTTCCCACCTCTCACCTTCCGTGTCCGCTGCCGGTTCTTTCGACGCCGTCGCTGGCGCTGCCGGTTCCTCCGTCGCCATCGCTGGCGCTGGCGCAGCCGCTTCCTCCGTCGCTGCCGCTGTCGGCGTCTCCGTCGCTGTCGGCGTCTCCGTCGCTGTCGCAGGCTTCCCGGTATCCGGCGTTCCCATAAGGGTGCCTCTTCACCCTGTTGTGGCTGCTGCTGCCCCGCCGGTCTGTCAAACAGGCCCGTCTTCACCTTTAAGAACCTCGGAGGAGGCGGAGCCTCCTTCTCGTTCCCCTCGTGGGCTTCGGCTTCACGCCGCGCGGCCTCCATCTGCCGCTGCAGGGCGGCCTGTGCCTCCCGCATTATGGCCTTGTTCAGCGCCGCCTCCCTTTGCGCCTTCTCTGCTGCCTTCCTTCGGGCCTCCTCCTCGCGTCGCCGCTCCTCCTCGCGTCGCCGATCCTCTTCGCGTCGCGCCTCTGCGGCTGCTCGCCGGCTGCGCTGCTGCTCCATATGGCTTCTCCGTATGGCCTCGGTTGGTGGCCGCGCTGCTGGCGTCGCTGTCGGCCGCGCTATCCGTTGCAGCGGTAAACTCTGCCGTCCGTCTCGGTACCTCTGCCGGCCGTCTCTGCTGTGCTGCTGGCCTCCTTGTTGGCCTTGCCGTCGGCTGCGATGGCGTCGCTGGCGGCCTGAGTGTCGTAGGCTGCTGCGGCTTCCGTTGCCCTGCAGCTTCGCGCTTCCTCTCACGCAAATAGCGTTCCGCCGATCGGATGGCGATGCCGAGGAATGCTGCGTCGCGCCGCAGCTCCTGCTCCCGTTCCCGCTTCTCCTCCTCGTTGAGCTGCATGCTCCTGCTCCAAATGGGGACGCCATGATCTCCATGCTCTGGAGTCTCGCTCCGCCCAATCCACCGCTCACCCTCGCGAGGGCTCCGCCCGTCGCTGGGGACGTGATCTCGGGATTGCGGCTCCCCACACTCTTGTCTTCTTCTTTCAAGTACATTTTCAACATGGCGTCCCTTTTTTTTCCTTTTTAATTCCGTGCTTGCGTCTGTGTCTGGATACCTCTGGCTCGTGACTAATCGACAGCTCCAGCCTTTGCTGCCATCGAGCCCTTGCTGTCTTTCCCGTCGTTCCGTCGTACGGTAGTTGGGCATTCCTTCTCCCACTCTCTCGAAGGTTTCTGCCTCTCAGCACTGGGGCTCTTCGCCGCGTTAGCCCTTCGGCGGCCGGTGGGGTCTGCTTGCACCCAATCATACCTGATCCCACCCCCTTTTGTTTGTAGAAACTTTATATATATATTTTCCTTTTTATATTTTGTAACTAACCGTTTTGTCCGCCTTATGTGCGCTTGGCGTACTCAGCGGCCGGTGGGTTCGTTGCAACGAATTTGGGTGTTGCCCGGGGGACAAAGCAGAAAGACTTGGTTGTCTTCTTTATACACGAGTTCTTTATTGGTATCTTAGGAAGTACGCTTAAGGACGACAACTTAGCCTATTCTTTCGTTTAGCACTATGATCACTATCACTATCGGTCCTTCTTGACCACTCGCCGTTCCTCGGAATCCCCAAGCGTGGCACTGTCGGCACTGGACCGTGGCTCTTAGAACTGGTACGACAACGATTCCTAGCGTTAGGCCCAAATCCGCCGTACTCAGTTCGCACACGACACGTTCGTTCTCACTGGATCCTTCCGTTGAGCGACCGGTACACCAGGTCCTTTCTCTTGACGCTCTTTGATAACTTTTCGACTTTCCTTGGTATTCGCCAATGCACGCACTTGCACTCTTCGCACTTGACTGTCTCGAGCCGCTGTCGCGCGCCTCCTTTTATTTCCTTGTTAGCGAACGGCCGCATCGTTGCTGCCTAGCAACAACGGGACTTTCCTCCAGGCGTCGGCGGTATTTTTCCATCGGCTAGTCTGATGCTCTCCACCTGCTTCGTAACGGGACCAAGCCGGTGGCGTGATCGCATGGCCATAAATGGTCATGCGCTGGACCACTGCCGGCCCGATCCCACTATCCCGCCTCTCTTCGGCGCTCCTTTACTCTCCCTGGTAGCGCCCTCTGATCGCGGCTCTCTCTCCGTTGCCCCTCCCTTGAGCGAGACCCTCCCAGGCAATTCGCCGTTATCCGGTTATCCGGACAACCCGGATAGACCTTAACCTCTTAGGGTCAATGGGCAGTTGGGCTCGCAACCGAATTTAAGCTCCAAAGTCTCTCCATAGATTTTAATGAGCAATACCTTGAACGACGCCAAATTAATGCACCTATACACAAAAAAATAAGGGACACAGGATATAATTTTTTTTCGACTTTTCCTGAATTTTTAAAGTCAAAATTTCGTAAAAAATACCACACAAAAATCATCATTTTTGCATTTCAATGATTTATATTTCCCAGACGGTAAGCTGTAATCACAAAGTGTTTAGGCTTAACTTCTAGCGGTTTTAATCATCTTTTCAAAATAGCAAAGTTCTTTACAACCAGACGTAAGATACTAGAGTTATGTGAAAAAAAAGCGCTTCCTCTGAAAAAAGCTTAAAAAAAAATACCAGACTTCAACAATTTTTCAAAAAAAGTTCTGCCATAGAAAAAAAACCATAATTCTTTAAAAAATTTTATATCTATCAGAAAAAGTCGGTTTGGATCCTTGAGGAAAAAAAAAGTTCGATTTTGTCGAGTAGTGTTATCCAACTCATTCAGCAAATTTTTTATACCCGTACTCAAAAAAGAGTTAAGGGGTATATTAGATTTGTGGTAAAAGTGGATGTGTGTAACGCAGAGAAGGAAACGTTTCCGACCCCACAAAGTATATATATTCTTGATCAGCATCAATAGCCGAGTCGATATAGCTATGTCTGTGTGTCCGTCTGTCTGTCTGTCTGTCTGTCTCGATGAGCGGCTAGATCTCAGAGACTATAAGAGCTAGGGCAACCAAATTTGGTTGCCAGACTCATGTGATATCCCACTGCTACAAGTGTATTTCAAAATTTCGCCCCGCCCCCTTCCGCCCCCACAAAGGACGAAAATCTGTGGCAGCCACAATTTTAAAGATACGATAAAACTAAAAACGCAGTATAGTAGAGAATGCCCATATCTACCAGACTGCCGAATCTGAATCGGATCATAATTATAGCCAGAATGACGAAATTAATTTTCAGTTGCTTCCCCTGCCCCACCTCCAGAAAACGACAGCGCAACTCATTTTCCTTCTCGCTCGCACACTCTGCCGCGTTCAGTGCGCGAGCAACCCCTAGCGGAGGAGATGTAGAATCTAAATGGTACATGTACATTGTACAATCTACATGTTAGATGTATAATATATATTGTATATGTTTATGTAGATAATAGATGTAGCAAAAAAATGTAAAATGTAAAAATTTTTTTTTTAATGCTAAAATTCTAAAAATCATATGTTCAAAAATGTAAATACTGACTGAGTACGGGTATAAGTAGAGTCGCGTCTTTAGAAGCGACTCACACGTTCCTTCTCGTTTTTTTTAATTTTCTTGACTAAAATATTTTGTAAAATTCGGTAGTAACCTCTAAAAAATAAAAAAAAAATTAAATAAAATCATGTAAATTACTATTAAGTCCAAGGTAACAAAACTAAGAGAGTGTCCCGTTTGAATTTCGAAAAAATTTGGCCCGGCCTAATGTACACATTTAATTTAGTATATATGTACATGTCTAAAACAGGGATATGCATATTTAAATGTGCAATATCAAACAAATCTAAAAATTATCATCTTTTATTTTTATATATTGTATTTATTTCCCACTGAGGCTGCCCTTCCCCAGGCATATCCTGGGCATCCAAGCATTTTATTAGCAAGGTAATGTGTCTGACTACACTAGACAAAATCGAACTTTTTTTTTCCTCAAGGATCCAAACCGACTTTTTCTGATAGATATAGGGCTTTAAAATTTTTTAAAGAATTATGGTTTTTTTCTATGGCAGAACTTTTTTTTGAAGAATTTTTGAAGTCTGGTATTTTTTTTAGCTTTTTGGAGCTTGTTTTTTCACTAACCTATCTTACGTCTGGTTATAAAGAGCTTTGCTATTTTGAAAAGATAATTAAAACAGCTAGAAGTTAAGCCCAAACACTTTGTGATTACAGCTTACCGTCTGGGAAATATAAAGCATTGAAATGCAAAAATTATGATTTTTGTGCGGTATTTTTTACGAAATTTTGACTTTAAAAACTCAGGAAAAGTCGAAACAAAATTATATCTTTTGTTATCTTGTTGGGCTCGCAACCTTCCAAAAGGTATTTTTTGTTCATTTTTTCCATATTTTAGGTTTGGTTAACGAATTTTAGCTCCAAAGTCTCTCCATAGATTTTAATGAGCGATACCTTAAATGACGCCAAATTAACGCACCTATACACAAAAAAATAAAGGACACAAGATATAATTTTGTTTCGACTTTTTCTGAGTTTTTAAAGTCAAAATTTCGTAAAAAATACCGCACAAAAATCATCATTTTTGCATTTCAATGCTTTATATTTCCCAGACGGTAAGCTGTAATCACAAAGTGTTTGGGCTTAACTTCTAGCTGTTTTAATTATCTTTTCAAAATAGCAAAGTTTTTTACAACCAGACGTAAGATACTAGAGCTATGTGAAAAAAACAAGACACTACCTCTGAAAAAAGCTTTAAAAAAATACGAGTTTTCAAAAATTCTTCAAAAAAAAGTTCTGCCATAGAAAAAAAAAAAATATCATCAAACCATTTCTAAGCCCCAAATCTTTAAGAAAAAGTTCGTTTTGTTCCTTGAGGAAAAATCGTGTTGACTAGTGTTATTAATAAATTAAAATAATGTATAAAATGACTTAAACCATTTATTAAATTTCAGGATGCGGAGCAGCCAGCAGAAAAGAAAAAAAAATTGATGCTATGGACACGTTAATGAAGACTGTAACGGAAAGGCTAAAAGTCCCGCAAGACAAAGCGAGCAAGGCCAGTGAGCTGTGGGCTTTGAAGTTGCGAGAAATGGCTCGTCCCCAATCCCTTCTGGCTCAGAAATTCATTCATGAAGTTTTTTTTATTGGAAAAATGGGCAACCTCACGCAGAGCACAAAAATCTCCACCACACCATCTGTATTTGCCATTAACGCCAATATTGGCACAAAAATCACAACATTTTGTATTTGACGAGACAACTACTACTAGTAAATTTAGCACTGATGAGAGCAGTACTCAACTTTCTGATGCAGGAAGTTTTTTTCCAAAATTTTGACCCACAATATGAACAAGTAAATTTCATTACAATACGATTTTGATAATATATATTTCCTAAAAATTATTAAATAAATAAACAAAACATATACTTACTTTAATATATTCTTTTAATGACGCTATTAAGGCTTGGCAAGTTTCCAAAACCATGTTGCCAACCGATTGGGTAGACATCGCTCCCGTGCAATGGAGATCTTGCAAAGAATTACCCGTTGCTAAAAACCTGAGAGCAATGGATAATCGCTGTTCAACAGGAATTGCATCCCGCATTACAGTGTTTTTTTTTAATTAGAGGATCAAATAATTTCAGCAGTTCATCGAAAACTTCTGTGTCCATTCGCAAAAAATGTTTAAAATCGTTCGTCTCAGTCAGCGCTAGTTCTCTTAATAAATTCTGGTGCATGAAATCTGGTATTTTTTTTTTTTTATCTGGACGTTGATATGCAATGACTGCACCATCAAGTGGCCCATGCGACACCAAGCCGAAGCCTGTTACGCGCGGAACCCAGGCAGAAACGCAGTCCTCCTCCCGCCCAACCGACCGAGGGGCACTGCCGCATGACGCGCGACGCGTGTTACCGAACCGATCGCGGGCATGCAGGAAAGATAGGTGTTAGACTAAAATTCGAGGAAAATTAGAGCTAAACACAACTCAAAGAGCTAAACATGCAAAGATAGCTAAAAAATATAACTAATTACGGGAAAGGTATGTTAGTATTAGTGATTTAAGAAGAGGAAGGGAATTAGTAGTTGATATTATGTGGTAGAGG